AATTAAATTATTTACTATATAATTTTTATATTAATTTTAATCAAATTTTATATAGTAAAATTTAAAAAATAATAATTCAAAAAAGTTTATATTAGTAAAATTTTTTTATAAAAGATATATAATAAAAATTTAAATAAATTTCAATATCTAATAACTTTATTAAATAAGATAGAATTAAAATTTTAGTTTAAAAAATGATTTATTAATATTTATTTGATATACTAATTTTTTTATATCAGATTATATTATATAATTATAATTTAATTAAATATTAATAATAAATAAATATTATATAATTATAATAATTAATTAAAAATTATAATATATATTAATTTAATTAAATTTTATTATATAAAAATTAGCTATTAAAAAATTAATTAAAATTTTAATTATTTATATATTTTTATTTAAAATTTTATTATAAATTAAACTTAATTAAAATATATTAAAAATAATTAAATATTATATAGGTAATTATTATAATTATATATATAATAGTCATCAAAAGTAATATAATACTTAAATTTTTTATTAATTATAATTAGTAAAATATGTGATTTTTCTTATATAAAAAAGTTTTTAATTTTACTAATAAATATTTTTTATTTTTAACTTAAAAAATAGTTAAAATTCTCTAGTTTAACATATTTTTTTTCAGATTTTTTATCAGTGATATTTTCTAATTGCATATAAAGTTAATTAATTTTTATTAATTATTAATTAGTAAAAATTAATTGATTTTATATACAATTAGAAAAAGTTACAGATAAAAAATCTGAAAAATCTGAAAAATCTGAAAAATCTGAAAAAAATATATGTTAAACTAGAGAACTTTAGCTATTTTTTGAGCTAAAAATAAAAAAAATTTGGTAGTAAAATTAAAAATTTTTATATGTAAGAAAAATCATATATTTTATTAATTATAATTAATAAAAAATTTAAGTGCTGCATTACTTTTAATGATCATTATAAGTTAATTTATAAAAAATAATTTTACAAATATTTGATTAAGTAAATATTACTATGATTAGAAAATTTATATAAAAATTATAAAGATATAATTATGAGAACTTAATAGAACAAAATACTATTTGTAAAAAATTTAAGCTTTATAGTTAAATTTCTTAAAATAAATTATATATTTTTATTAAATTAAATAATTATTTTTTTAAGACTTTTAATAATTATAATTTTTATTTAGTCATTAAAATGACAATGCTTTAAGCCTTTTAAGATTATAATAATTAATTTTATTATATATAATCAGATCTTTTATAGTTATATTTCTATAATTATATTTTTTTATAATTATTCTTTAAGAGTTTTTCAATTATTAATTAAAAAATTTTTATAAAAATATCTCTTTAAATTTGCTTTTTCAAATATAGTAACTATAGAAAGATTTAATTATATTAATATTCAGATTATAATTATTTCACAAATATAAATATAAATATATATATATATATATATATATATATTTATATAAGATTTAAAAATGATAAGATTATGATTATATGTAATTAAGGAAAATCACGTCACATATTAAATTTTGGATTTTCAGTCTTTTAAATCTTTTACTGTAATTCATTATTATCACTTGCAAAAATAAATAAGATGATACCAACCAAAAATGAAGTTTCACATATTCTTGCTGCTTTACAAAAGGCACAACACGATCAACTGATAATTAAAACGGCTATTAGGGAAAGATTGGCAGTTGCGATAGAGGTCATTATTTAAATGTCGTTATATTTTATTAAATATATTTTTTTGTCTTATCGTAAAATAATTTTTACAGGCGAGTGATGATTCAAAAGTTAGAACATCCAAAACAAAAATAGAACAAAAACCTTTAAATATACTTGAAAATGAATATCAAAAGGTTGCAATCATAATTTATATGTATGTTTGGTTATGTTTGTCAATGTTTTTAATACTTTCCACATGTTTAGCTTTTCTCAAATATAGTTCATCTTTCCGAACGTCACGCTTTAGCTACTTTAATTTACCGTCTATCCAACCCATACGAAACACTAGATCCTACTTTGATAACAATAAATAATGACATTCCATCGTTGGCTTCTTTATGGCCTAACACTAAATCACGTGACATAAACACAACTACAGAACAAGAAAGCAAGCATCGACGAAAAGAAATGATGCGATTGAATGAATCTTTACTTGATTTACCAGGTAAAACATAATGGAAAATATGTTTTTTTTACAAAAGAACTTTCAATTTAAATTATATTTTTAACTAATGGGGAGAAGTCTTGATTAATAGTATAAAACGGAATAAAGATGGATCACAACTGCAAGACAAAGATACAGGGAATTTATTAGTAGATTGGTATTGGGTATTAAAACATCATATGTTATCAATGCAGCAAGCAAAGGAGAAGGAAGGGGAGGAGAATGAGAATGATAAAGTAAATATAAATATTGATGAAGATCACGTAGAACAAACAAAGCGAAATTCCGCAAAAGGTAGCAGCGTTTTTTAATTCCCATTTTTCATTTTTTAATAAATATATTGTTTATTTATTAGCTAATTTTGTCAATAGACTGTCTTTTATCAGATTTGATTGCATTTGATATATCATATTCTCCTAAAGTCATTTTGAAACAGCCAAAGATAAACTCCAGATCAGAAAATAATACCATAGTGAAACAACTTCAATTCAGTACACGACATTCGGGGCATGTTATTGTTGTACGAATCATTTCAAGGTATTTATAGAAAAAACATTTTTATTATAATAAAATCTACGTTTTATCTTAACTATTACTATTATTCGACATTTTTAGAAATTTGTCGTCACAATATTCGATACAATTTGATTATCACCTGTCGAAATCATTTTATGCTTTTACATCATTTGTTTTACATAAAAATCGAGATGTTCTCGAGATATCCGACGCGACAATTACAGGGAAGTTAGTACCATCCTCATTGCCCGAGTTTATTAATTCAATTATATGGCCAGAGATGGCGGAAGAGTTTGGTATTAATTGATTTAAATATTACTTGGTAAAAAAAAGAAAATGACTTAAGGTAGTGAAAAATTCGTGGTTATCTATGACATCTATATTATTCATGTCTCAAAATATTATTGTTCTGTTAACTATATTAAAAAATATAAAAACGAAAAATTAAATTGAGGAATACTTTATTCTTTTTCGCGCTATATACACTCGTTAATTATTAGGTAGGGAAATTTCCAAATGCTAAAATTATTTTATAAATGTCTTTTGGGGTTCATTCGTTTGCAGAGGAATCAACTGACGATGATGATAGATGCGAAAAGCTCTTGTTACTTTGAGATGCTCGAGGTGGAGGTGAAGATGTTGGTGTTTGAGTTCTCGGCCTTTTGATTGGATGCGGAGGAATCACTGTTCTTGGTGGTATCCGATTATTTGTACTAGTTTTATTCAGGTGAGGAAATTGACGTGTTACTGGGTACGTTCCTTGCGTTTTCTGTGCCCCCTGTGTTTTCTGTGCTCCCTGAAATGTCCCGCTCTGAGTTCTCTCTGGATATTTGACGGTTTGTGGATATTTGCCTTGATATGGTCCAAAATGAGATTTGTCAGCTTGCGACCTATCTTGATATTTGCCTTTATGTGGTGATTTTTCTGGATCCGTTCCTTGGCCATATTTACCTGTTTGAGGTTTTTGATGAGTTGCGCTTCGCACCAGGTTAATAGTTCTTTGCGTAAAAGATGATTGTTGCGCAGAAGATGATCGTGATGGGGAAGGTGATCGTGGTGGGGGAGTCAATCGTTGCGGAACACCTTTAATTGCGCTTGGTAATTGGTATAGTACATTATAGACGGTATTGAAATTGATGTCACCCCATTTCTTGATAGGAGTCTCAATTACTCTTTGTAAAGGAGCATCTTGCGTGAGTGTACCAAATATACCCACTGACGCAGATAATCCAAGTGTTGTTGCATAACCATTTCCAAGAGAGCGCAATGTTGGATATGATGGTGCAAATCGACCTGCAAATAATTGAACTTTTCCTGTAATAGTATTTCTTTTTTGGTCTTCGGGACTTAATTTTGGATATCGGGGAGCCATCGATTCAAGTAGTACTTTTTCATCGATAAAAGGTAAAATACCAACGTCCGAGATAACTTGCATCTTGTTCGGGAAGAAATCTTTTAGAGGTGAATTAGGGTCCGTTAACAAATCACGGAATGGTTCTGGAACAAGTGAATCACAAGTTGGCGGAAGAACACAGATCAATTGCTCGAACGGTCTTAGTGGTTGATCGGGACTAAACTTTTGATTAAAGTCTGTTGGGTTGACATTTTTAATGATTTCCAAAATTGACGGAGGGAAATGATGAGGATAGAAATATCGCCAACTTGGACAACCTGAAGTATAATATTGAAAAGCCCAACATAATGTTCTCATGTAATCATTGGCTCTTTTGGCTCGGGTTTCAGGATCGATATTAAATCGGTTAGAATATATTTGAGATAGATCTGCTAGTTTTTCACCTTTAAGAAGTGTTTGATTTCCCAACGATCCAAGGAAAACCAGATATCTACTAATATTAATAGTACCACCTTTTTCTGTAATGAAGCCACCCATATTTTTGTGGCATTCTCTATATGCTTTCATTAAAATGTTCACTGCTGTTCCAACGCCTTGAAGCTTGGGCAAAAAATCATTGCCGAGCAACATTGATATACATACAAAATCTTCAATCAAATTATCTTGATCGGCAGCAGACATTGGTGGTGAATCTTTGGGCATCATATCGTTGATAAGATGTTTACGTAGTTTCGCCACATGTAGAATGTCCAAATCTTTACCCATGCCAGGTCTTAATATTCGAAGATGTGGTTCGTGGGTCATCAGCGAGTACATGATAAAATCGGCATCTCCACCACAGACAACATGGCGAAGTTGCGGATTATAACCACTTTGCATGCGCTGCGTTTTCAAAAATTGGAATAATTTGTGCTCACCTTCACCTGGTACACTGGAATCACTAAAGATGATCTGAAGATGTCTTCGACGACCATTCAATCTTTGGAAAATATAAAATCTTATTGCTTCATTTGCGGCTTGCATAAATTTTGTACCAGGAGTAATGGCGACCGATTCACCAGGCAAAAAAAAGCCTGTACTTCCCTCGGCAACCTCTCCATCTTTGCCGACAACCTCGGTACCAGCTACTTCAATTGTCATTGCATCTTCATTAGCTACAGCAATTTCTTCTGAAGCAGGTGAAGAAGAGGGAATACCTATTGGTGGAACAACCGCTGGTAATTTAGGTTTTATATTAACGGCAAGGTATCGACGAACACGTTGTTCATTCATCTTTGCTCTTGGAGCTACGCCATCCATGGTAATGTATACGAGCATTTTCGGATCAAATAAATCTATGGCGTCATCCATTTGTCGAAAAACCTTCGACAGCATTAATGCCGAGGTCAACTTTCCACCACTTTTCCCTCTACCTTTTTTCTTTATGTTTGCGGTATGAAAAAGTGCATTGATATCTAGGTATAAAAAGTCCGCAGATTGTTTCACGCCGGGAGTTACTCTTTCTACGACTGCTGGATAATGTGAGGCCAGCCAGCGAAAAAATCCTGGAATACCCATTTTTGGTTCCTCCTTCTAATGAACGGCGGCGTTCCTTCGCAATGAAACGGTTTTAATAAATATACGTCAAACTGTCAAAATCGGAAATCCTTCCAAATAAAAATCGTCTTATTTCCTTTACTAACCCCTATTTTTGCTGGCTTGACTTGTAAGATGCAAATTTTATTTGGTGCAGTCATGATGACTTATTATGGATGCCCGCATTAAATTTTGATTACTGCGCAAAAACATGATCGCTCCGTGTTTTTAAAAATTCGCGTTATTATTTGAATCTATCAAAATACATTGATATAATCATGATGAATTAAAATTTAACAACTGTGTTTATTAAGTCTGAATAAAATAATAAAGACCATATTCTCTCTTTATAAGTAATTTGCGCTTAAGAATAAAAATATAAAACCAAAAAAAAAATAAATAAAATTTATAAGTTGCCTTCTTGAAATATGCACACATTAAAAACCAAAAGTTTATCGATTACGTTCATTCATCTAATAAGCTTCACACTCGCATTACCTATTTTTCATATTGATCAAGCAATGAACTTCAAACGTGGGGATGGAATAAACATGTCAATTCCTCCGAATGACCCAAATTTTCAAAAAATTTCTTTAAATCAAGATATTACCCCTCATATATACAGCTTAAATCAACCAAAGTTAAAAAAACCTGTTCTAATGCTAATGCCAATAAAACCAAAAATCGCAGCAAGCCCTAAAAAATTGGAAAACCCTACACTTTATATGAATTCTGAAGAACAGAAAAATACGAATACGCAGTTTTCAGCTATTGATCAATTGAAATTGCAAGAAGCGGCTAAAGATGCGCTTAATGATCATGAACACAAATATAAAGCCGAGATCGGAACTTAAATTGTAAATTTGTTTAATAGATAATACATGTAAAGTTAAATCCTTGTAAAAATTATAAATTCTCAAATGAAAGAGAGCATAAATGAAACTCTAAAATTGCAATTTGCTTAAATGATTAAAGGCTACATACAGGATTAACCCTTGGACCAGTCCAAAAGGTTGTCCAAATATCTACATAATTAAATTTTTTCAAAAAAACTCGGACAAACTGTCCAAATTGTCCAAAGGCCAACCTTGGTAAATTACATAATATCCTTGGCATGGTTATGTTTACATTTACCTTGGGGGGGGGGGGGGGGGGGGGAAGAGGACATTCAGTAGTAAAGGATATTACGTAACATATGTTATTTGAGATAGGGAAGAACTCCGAAGCATGAGTTACATTACCATTTCATTGATTTATTTGGAAGCAAAATATACATTGTATTGTTATTCCGTAAAGATAATCTAAAAATCGCTTTCTTGACCAAAAATAGCTATTTTTTCTTTTGTTCTTATAAACCACTCGGTTTTTAATTTTTCTTAACTCCCCAAAAAAGGTTGTCTACAATATGACGATCACGGCAGCATCAAAAATTAAGGAGCATCAAAATGGCATTTTTTCAATTAAAAAAATTGCGCCATAATTTGACTGCATATCAATATGAACATTAACAATACACAGATATCATCTCAAAAAAAATTTTTTAAATAATAAAAATAAATAAAAAATTTTCTTGAGGTTGTGAAATCAAATTTCCGCCATATTTGTTAAATACAGAATTTTATGAATGACATTTTTCGCATTTAAGCCATACTTAATCTAATCAATTAAAAATATGCATTAAGGCTTTCATGCCATTAAACAAGCAAAGCATTAGAATAACAAAAAATACGCAAGGCAGTGCAACAAAAATGACTAATTGAAAAAGAAAAGGAATCAAAATAAATTAAAAAATATTTACAATAGCAAACATTATTATTATTACTAGAAACTCACCGAATGCGAATAATCCAACTACCAAAAAACCGATGCATACAATCACCAATAATAAAATTCCCAAGCCAAGTTCAATGCAAGTAAAATTCCACAAATAACAACATATGTTACTAAAATCATGCAATTTAACGAGATCAAAAAACTTAGTCTAAGAATTTGCGTTGTGCCTAATGAATGTATCGGTATTTTGAGCTAAAAAGTTCACTAGGTTTTGTAAGTTTCGTGTTTCTTGATAAAAGATGCTTAGAAAGTAAAGTATACATTTGATAATGGTATTCTCATGTTCTTTTTAAAATTGACAATTTATTATTATCTGATTTATTCAAAATGCAAATATTTAAAAATATAAAATTGCATTGATATATCGATGATTTTGGTAATTATATAACGTTAATAAAATAATGATTAAAATAATACGAGTTACATAAAACACAAGCGGGTGCCCCGACGGCCAAAATCCCGATATTCCCGACATCCAAAATCCTGAAATTTCGACATTTCAACATCCATATTCTAAAATCCCGACTTCGCAATATCTAGACCGTCAGCATATTCAATATCCTGATATACCACATATCCAAAAAGCCTGACATTCTTAAAATACAACGTGAAGTTCAGAAATATTCGCATTTAGTGTTGGATATCGAGATTTTGGATCCAAAACAAGTATGTTTGTCATCCACAGTAACTACTGTATACTCTGAATCAGTATTGAGAATTAAGTCTAATTTCCTGAATCGGACAATTCAGTATGCCAAATTGTGTGCCCTAGTGTTTTGAATTGGAATTTGAAGTGGAAATCTGTCCAATTGATTTAAGTATGCCTCAACACTCTAAATATTATTTGGTCAAATATCTCTGATTTTTTGAAATTGTGAATACCTAAATGGTGATTGGTTAATCGTTTTACGAATTTTTGGAAACTAATGTCAATGAGACCGCATCCATAAACTTTGAACAATGACATACATCAGCATATTCGAAATGTCGTAGATAAAGCTATTTTCTTGTTGAGATGAAAAATTAATAGTCTAATGTTAGTGACTGATCTGCACAGAAGTTTTCATGCAACTTGGGTAGTGATACGGGCTGTCGCGGCAACCACGCCTGGTCAATCAATATATGGTAAATATAACTTGATTCACTCTACAAGACTCATAATCCTCTCAAATGGTGGAGTACGCATAAAAAAAATATCAGGATTTAGCAGCATTAACTCAAAAATTTCTCGCTTCCCTGGCAAATTCAGTATCACCCGAATGGTTATTTTCCGACGCAGGCAAAATTCTAACAAAAAAGACGAATCGGTTAGATCCAAACCTTGTACATGATATATTGATCTATTCAATGTTTATCCCGACTTGTCGCAATTAATGTACATAATCCAAAATACATTTTTTTGCAATATATTTGCCCAATTTTGATCTTAGTTTGAATTGTGATAAAAGCTTTGGTCTTGAATAGAGATGTCGTTAGAACTGTTCGGCTATGCCGGTTACGACATAATTCATAAAAATCTAAATATTCGAAAAAGTTCGGTTTAATACAAATAATCATGATGTTCTTGCAATATCATTGATTAAAAAATTATATGTTGCAGAAAGGTCGGTCCGGTCGACCTGCCCGAGTCTTATGTTGTCAAACCCTGGCCTACAGGTTTTCCATCGGCCCGCATAACTAAACTTGGAAAACAAAAATTATACAGTGCACACGTACATTTAATACTTTGCTACGGATAATACGGTTTTAATCACCTAAAAAGATAATTCCGCTTTCATAGAAAAAAGCTTATAAAGTTGACAAAACTCATTAAACCGCAATATATTACATATTCTTTAAAGTTAAAATTTTAACCCGTAATTACAACTTTAAAACATAATGTTGCACAATGAAACAATGAATGAACAATTTCGTTTTATCTCGTAAATATCAAAAACAAGTGGAAATAGAGATTAAACAATAAACATACTATTCATTTATTACATTTTAAAAAATTTTAATTTATATGTGGTTACTGTATTCTTCATTATCATACAACCAAGAGATTTTTGCAATTCAAAGTTCTATTTTTGGTTGAAATGGACTCTAAAAAATATGATAAATGAAGTCGATTTGAATGTAAGCGCTAACTTTTTTTATTCATTACACATTATGATGTCATGATTTCATACATTTTTCTTAATTTGTTCTTCATTGCTTATCTTGTTGTTTCTTGAAAAACCAGATTATAATGTCATTATAACTAGGTCACAAGTATAGCATATCCAATGAAAAATTTTTTGGTTTATTTTGGAGTATAATGATATTTCCTTGTATGCCTTTTCATTTATTGCTGAGGCAATTTTTTATAATTGTTGTACCATAAAATTTTTTTAAACGCTTGTACGAAATTTAAAATCCTTGATTTATTATTGTCAATTTCATAAACGCTCTACATGATTGTCAACTTCAAGTGGGGGAGGATCATTTGTGTCGCTGCATGGATTAGTGACCGGAGCCGTGTATGCTGGAATACTGACAACATGCTCCAGTATAAGTCAAAAGTCCCAGCTTCATCCACGCAGACAAAGGCTCATACGATCTGCCCAAAGTACAATCTCGAACTAATTTGAGACATAGAAAGCTGAAATCAAGCGAAGCCTTCGGGATCGGAAGAAACCCCTTTAATCTTTGGACAATGTGGAAGGTAATTCCAAGAATGATGACTAAGAATTTGGTCAACAGCATGCCAAAGCGGATTCAAGCAATGATTGCGTCAGAGAAAGTATTAGTTGCTTAATACGAAATGATTTACCAACCTATTTAAGTTTATATTAATTAAGAAGTGTACAGAAACTTTTGGTATATTTATAATAAATTTTTAATAATAAATAGATTTTTAACTGAACAAGTACCTGATTAAAGTCATTGAAAATGTTTCATTAAGTTTATCTATTTATCAATTTCTTTGAATCAGAGTCTGATTGACAAAGATATAAGTCTTCAAGGGTTAATATTAACTTTGTCCTAATGAATTGACAAAGAGAGGAACGTTTCTCCGCTCAAGACATTTATATTTTTATGGTGGTTATAAGGCCTCTTTTTTTCTTTGTTTCTTGTTTCTTTATATTTTACCGGCTTGTTATGGAATGAGCAGAAAATCTTTTGATTATCATTGAAAAAATATGATAAAATAGTTATTGTTTTAACAGTATTTTAAAAAAATAGTTGAATTAAAATAAGTTTTTTATAATATTGAATAGTTCAGTCAAACTATTTCAATTTGAACTGGATTATATTAAATTTGATAATAATAAGTATTAGCATTAGTAAATATGTTAATTTTTCGATATCGATAAAACAATGACAATTAAGATAGTTCTGGCATTGCTTACTATGATGACGAGGACTCTGAGACAGTTTCGATAGTGACAAAATAATAGTGATTAATGCAGTTCTGATATAATACATAGATTATAATAAGAGAGTAATAAGCATTAGGGAATATAGGCAGGTAAAAATTAATAATAATAATATTATATTTATGCGGGAGCTCTAAATATTAATAAGTAAAATTATCAGAAAAAGAACGTTGAATATTATAATAATTAAATCAATTCTAAATAAAGCAATGTTTAGAATCAATCCGTTAGGCTATTAATAATTTATGTTTTTTTATTTCGTTCTATCTTTATTACAGATTTCAGCTACTAAATAAAATTATTTTCAGCACAAATAGCACATCTCAAAATGATGCATCCCGACAACTGATTTTAGAAAGAAGCGAAAACAAACCCACTCTACCAGATATTCTCGCAATTTGAGCTCTTACAAATTTGTTATCTTATTTATATGCATAATTTTGAACAAGCTTCGAAAAGATATTGCTTGTTATGGTACATTGCTTTGCATGATTTATCAAAATTTTTATTATTCTTGAAAGTTGAATGATTACAAGCTTACAAAACTGGTGGAATCAATTAAAGCAATCCAAAGTTTGTACTTAAACTCTAAATTTTGACTAACTAAATTTCTCATACTTAGTCCCTTATTTAGTCAATGAATAGCATATTTTTGTCTTAATTCTATCCGAATTTACATGAATTTTCATGTCATTATGATTTTTGGGAGGATTAGCAAGTGAACTTGTAAATTTTCTTTGTAATTTGGAATTTGTATCAACTCTTGATCTATAAGTTATAACGTTGATATCTTATGCAAACAAAAACTTGAGGGGGTTAATGTTATGTATGATATTGCTGTACCAATTCAATAATATGAATCAGCAGATGATAAAGTTAATGATTATGAAAGAACTAGAAGAATCAATAACTGACAACGGTAGTAATAACTTAATTGAAGAAAATGAAAATGAAAATGATATTAGAAACTCTGAAAATTGGAAAAGAATTGGATTCAAATGGTGAATTATGAAAATCGTATGGATAATAAGTAGTTTATGTTAGTTTATTACAAGATTTAGATAATTAATCAGTTTTTAATAAGTAAAAATTTACTGTGGCTCCACAATAAATTACGGAACATCAGAAAATATAGTTCGAAAAGTATTGGCAACTTGCCGGGCTACCATTGGCAAAGTGAGTAATAGTGAAACTAATTTAGTCAGATCAGGAAAGGCTGGTCGAAGTCGTTGACGAGGTGTCCGCCCAACCGTGCGAGGTTCAGCCATGAACCCTTGCGACCATCCGCATGGTGGTGGAGAACAGAAAGCCGGGATTGGTCATTCTTCTCTTTATAGTAAATTTTGTTCTGTATTACTATATACAGTCGTGGATAAAAGTAACCGAACACTCTAGATGCGTTTAAAACAAACTATATTCGAAATTTATACTATTTTATTTTAAAAGTTCATTCTCTATTTTAAAATCCCATTAGTTTCTTTTAAGATAAACTCTATATTCCATACGATATTTTTCAATTGGATTTTGACTGGAAGACATTGATGTCAAGGAAGTTCTACATTAACATTTTCAGCTTTCCATTTTAGATTGGTGCTTCTGATTATTGTCTTCTTGCCTATGTATCATTGTCAAAAATTTTATCGTAAAAGAACTTCCTTTTAGAGAATGTTTAAACGTACGAAATATTGAGTGTTACATTAATTTTAGAATATTCGATATGGCACAAAATAGGGTTATTATGTTCGAATTTTAATTTAGACAAAAACGATTTATGCATACTTCTCATTGTGTTAATTATTATTTAGTCGAACAATTAACGCCCCATCAATTACAGTCGTGTACAAAGTAATAACCTTAAAAATTTTTTGTATAAATAAATAAAAAATTTTTTATAATATATTCAAAAATTTTTTAATGGCGAAAAAGAAAGGAAGTTTCAATCTAACAAAAAGTAAAAAAAGAGAGAATTTTAATTTCTTGGAGAATGCTTAAGAATTAAATATTTATTTTTTTTTCAAATAATCCTATTCGATTTATTTTACTTTAATTTTTAAGAAGTTTTAAAAGTTTTTAAAAATTTAAATTAGGATTTATCTAGGTTCGGGCACCGAAATCTCTGATAAAGTTTTTATTGTATCACTTAACACTATTTTTAGTTTGTAACCGTAAAACTATAACTATAAAAATTAATTAAAAAAGTACATGTTAAACCGTGCAGATATTAAAAATTGACGTGCATGTCCGTATTTAATAATATTTTCATTTAATTTTTACTATATCCGGCTTACTTTTAGATCCATAATACCGATGCACACTAAAACTTTTAAGCGCATCAGGTAAATACATATACCTGACGTCGTGACGTGTACATGGTTAATTAACTTTTTGATTTTAATTTAAAAAAAATAAATCGTTTCGGTACATAGTCAACGAACAACTAATGCTACCATGAATACTGAGTGCTGAAGACTAAATCTCAAATAATATTTCTCTTCTAATTATCTAATCAAAAAATAAGATTTATGGCTCGAAGAAAGATAAGCATCATAAAACCATAAAAGACACAGATCGTGAATTTGTCAGTTCCATCAGTCTAAATTCTATCACGTCATCTTACAATCGGTTAAGAATTTAAGTCCTCTAAATTTTATTGTATATGTATTAAATATATTCGATTACATACGGTTGGTTTCTTCAAATGCCAAAAAGGGTGAATGATGTTATAAAGGCAAAGGGTGGTTATACGAAATGGTAATATAATATTATAGTTCATTAGTTAGTATTTTTTTTTAGCTTGATAATAGTTCAATAAAAAGAATCCTTCCTTTGAATTTCGTCCTCGAAATCGGGCAATTTCGCGGAACGCTAAAAAATTTCAAAAAAGTTGGTTAATTTTTGTTTATGTAACTTCTACAAAAAAACATTGTTAATATCAATAATCGTAATATTAACGAATATAATTCACTTACTTTTGTTTTCACGTAATTCTTCAATGGCGAGATATTCGTATCTCGCCAATTTTTTTTCCGTGTTCCATTTCTTAAGTGAGCTACTGTATGTACGTATATTCAAAAACATGAATAACAAAGAAAACAAAATCTAAACCAATACATATAACAAACAAAGAAACATAACTATAAACCAGGAAAAATAAGATCTAAGAAACTATCATAATGCGTATGTAATTTTCAGTATGGTATATTGTTCATGTATAAACACAATTTTTAATTCATTTGTTAAATTTTTAATTTATTTTGCTATATATTATATGGGAATACTTTTCTTCGAATTTATAAAATGCCAAAACTTTTATCATTAGTCGTGGCAATAGCTTCACCCATTTTCTATAATGGCTTTTTAATACTGATAATATTTAGGAGAGAGAATTCGAAAGGGTTGGAGCCAAATAAAGTATTCTCTTATTAATATATTGCAACCATTTCTAATCAAAATTGAGGAAATGGCGGGAACTATAGGTAAATTCAGAAACATAAACGTGATTTGTTAACCAAATTTACGCTTCAAATTAATAAATATGAATGTGCTGATAACAAAAATTCACTTGAGTGGAAAACATCTCCAAAAATATATTAATTTTATTTAATTCCATGCATAATAAAAAAAGTGAATATGAACAAATCTTCTAAATACACCGCATTTGCATACTCAGCAGCCAATAGAATCAGAAATACCCTGCGCGTGGGCCAGAAAGATATTGTACGTTTCCACCTTTCCTGAGTATTTATTCCTGTTGAGGAAAAGAAAATCTCTATCTCTAAAAAGCTATTAATTGAAGGAAAAGATGGCGCATGCATTTATATTTTAGTCACTCTGGGAAGGATAAAGACCGCGTCTGTACGAGAGATCATTAGGGTTTACAGCCAAAATCGATACCACGGTAATTGTAATAATATTTTTTAATCTTTAAATCTTCATTGGATCTTAATGAATTTAAATTTATGGATGATGTGTTAAAAATTTTGATAATTAAAGTATGAGCAAATTGAAATTTCATATACATTCTTATATAAGATTCAAACAACAACCGATGTTTTAAATTACATAATTTCTGTAAGAAAGCAAATATACTTTTGCCAGTTGCATATATCAGAACAAGATAATATGGTATCAATGGTTTAAGCTTCTTAGTTTTCGTTTTCTTGCATCAATGATTATTGCGTTTGGATGTTCACCAGTGGATTCTTTAAAATTCATAAATCCAAGTTATTTTAGTTTTTCCTTTTCGTCGAAAGTTTCGAAAAATAAGCGCAAAGAATTCGTAATAACCTTGCATTTGCGCACGATATCGATTTTTAATCGTGTTTGACGGAACTTTTGTGAATTACTCAATATACGATCAAGGTGTGCCACATCCATCTCTGCATCCAAACTTTCAAAAAATACGATATTTTAAAACAATATTATCAGATAAAATTATACTTGTAACAGTTGCACTTCCTGTTTTTCTTTTGGATAAAAATTTTTTATAACCAGCTTTTACTCGTCTTTTGAGGTTAAATTACAGAATAAGGAAATTATTATGATTAGTATTACGAATAAGATTTTAGTGTTTTAAAGATTTGATATTGATGTGCACTTTGTTAGGCAATAAATGATTGATACATCCAAATAACGTAATAAAATGACATGCAATATTATGTAAAATCAAATTGCGTTATTAATTATAAAAATTTGTTAATTGAGAGAGACCCCACGCCCTCTTCAATTTAACGTAATTATGTCATTTCAATAAAAATGACAAAAAACTCTTTCCGATCTGAATTTGATTTAGAAGAGAAAATAGAAATCATAGTTGAAAGAGATAGAGAATCCAAATTTATTTAATTATGATTTTTGAAAAACAAGATTTTTTAACAATAAAAATTTATCACATTAATAACCATTAATTTTCTATTAAACATAAAAGGAAAAAGTCGTATTAGAACCAAGAAGGAAACCTAATATCAAAAGGAAATAAGAATAATTGACAATTTATGACATAGTCATAAGATTACAGTTAAAGCAAATTGACAAATGAATTGATTATCCTATGAAAAAGTGTGTTAGGATGAAATGTGTATATGACATGATTATCTATCATATATTTCAAAAATTAGAGAAATTCCTAATATTTTATACAAAATTCATAAAATCTTTAACATAATGAAATTAACTTATATTTTTAGAGAATTAGCTAAAATAATATTTATAAAGAATCAAATATAATCTTTTAATATTATATTTATAATCAAGTGAAATAAATGAGAAATCTCTCTTGATTTTATAATAATATTTATAATTTTTATTAATATGAAAATGATAGTATAGAACTTATAAAGATACTTATCAATATCTAAATGAGAGTAATGAATTTTTAATTAACTAATAATTCAAAAATTTCAAGTTATAATTTGAGAATATCATTTAATAAATAAGATTATCCAAATCTGAATTAATTGTATAACTTATCTAAATAAATTTTGAACTTGATAATAATTTATTTAAAATGAATTACTAGTTATTATTATTAAAAAGTTATAAAATAATTAGAAACTTATAAATCTTATTATATTATATAGTAACTATTAAAAGTAATTAGATTTATTAATAAAAAAGTAAAAATTCAGATTTTCTTTCTATTTTAAAATTTATAATTTTAATATAAAGATTTTTTATTTTTATATCAAAGTAAAGTGATACTTTATCATTTTATATATTTCTAAAAGAGTTTAAATTAGATTTTGATTTAATTAGAAAATTTTTTGTGCTACTATATAATTAAACTAATATTTTTAGAAAATTTAAAGAAAATATATAAATTTTATTTTGATATAAAACTAAAAACTATTTATTAATAAATTCTAAATTATAATATAAAGTAAAAATTTCAAATTTACTATATTTTATTCTGATATAATTCATAATTCATATATTATAATTAAAGAATTTTTTAATAAATATCTTTAATTTTTAAAATAAAAATAAAAAAATTTCAAAATAATATTTTGATAGATTTTTATATTAGATAATGTATTATTTTTTAGTATATTGAAATAATTATTAATTTTTATTTTTATATAATAAATAATAATTAATATATAGAATTTAGTTTAAAAAAATGCTTTCTTACTGAAATTATTTCATCTTTACTAGCTTTATATGATAATATATATACTGTTTTTCTTTTTAAAATTGGTAAAGCAGAATTGTAAATATTAAAATTATAATAATTATACTATATATTCTTTAATATCTAGAGAATAAGTTTACTTAAGATCATAAAATAAAAAATCTTAATAAAATTTTTTATAAATTTGTATATTATATTCAAAAAATAAGCTAGCAAAATTGATTACAAAAATTTATATATGATTTTTATAATGAAAATATTAAATGTATAACTATAAAAAAATAATTTAAATTATATTTACTTTATTATGCAATAATAAAGTATTGAATTTTTATAAAAACTTAATAATATCTTCTTTATAATATAATAACCAAATTTATTTAAAGTTTAATTATATAATAAATTATTAAAATTATTTTTAATTAAATTTTTAAAAAATTTTTGTAATTTGATTTTGCAAGCTGATTTTTTTAATATAAAATGTAAATTTATGAAAAATTTTACTAAGAATTTTTATTTTATGGTCTTAAGTAAACTTGTTCTCTAGATATTAAAGAATATATATAAATGTTTATATTATTTGAATCAATTCGTTATAATCAAAAAACTAATTTGTACCATACTGTAATTCTTTGAAAGAAACTAAAACTAAATTTTACGAATTATTAATACATCACGCTTTTAGTAAATGTGAGATGAGACAAGCAATATTACACGATTAGTATATTTTGCATGATAATTGTTTTATTCAATGAATATTTCTGAATTTAGAAATATCAAGAACGGTCACAATAAAATATCAAATTACTTCAATTACATAGCAAACTAAAAATATTATAGTCGAAATTTTCATATAATCACACCTTCGGATATGAAATACTGTAATTATGGAAATAAAATTTCTTATGTTTCATAATAAGTCGGGAACTGGAAAAATATGATTATTAATTTTGTGAATATATAGGAGGTAACCATATAGAGGATTGACTGTATATAATATTCTAAGTTTCCTTCTCAATTTTTTAATTAGATATTAGTTATAATGCGACTTTTGAGAACCAACTAATGAATATGTAAAAGTTCTTTTTCTTATTGATTTGTGATATATAAAGGAAAGTTTCTTGCAAACTATCATATTTGATACTCTAAAAATTCATATTAAAAGATCAAAACATCGAGTAACGTTGTATGCTATCATTTATTTATAATAATGCTTGATAGTATAGATCATTTTGTATAACCAATAAAAAAAGACCCGTAATTTATTTCATGTTACGATTTAGCGTATGGGTGGGATACTTAAAAGGAGAATAACGGGAGGGGGCGAATGAACTATCTATTTTAGTAGAATTGTTATCAAATTGGTAACACAGCTACTTCAACAATATGTTTATATACTATTATTTATGTATATTTAGTAAGAAAACCGGATGAACAATTAAAAATTGGATTAAAAAAGAAACAATAATAACAATATAAACGAACTAAAAAAGACAATATAAATATATTTAAATAATAAAGAACAATAAAAACCGAATTATACATGCATTATGTAAGTATTGTATAAACATATTTAGATAACAAAGAACAATAATTATACATGAATTATGTAATGGAAAAAACACAATTTTATAGTTTATGACTTCGCACAAATTTTTCAAGAATTTGAGAAGTGTACAATGGATTCGAGAATGGATATTGAATAGAGCTATAGTTGGTCATTGCATGGACAATCAAAAATCACGAGAACTTAATTAGATCGCCGCCAATAAAATTTATCGTAATACCATTAAACAAAAAGATTGTACAGTGAATAAAGTTTTGATATAAAAACTTCTAGTCATGGAGAACCTTTTCTGAATTGGCGATGTTGTATTAAATTAGTATATTCTTTAGTTAATATTTCCGCAAAAGTTATATAAATGTAAGTATCACTGTCTGTCTCAACAATTTATTATAAAAATAATATCAGCTTCATCTTTACTACATTTATAATAATTCAGACAAGTATAATAAACAGCACCGTAAATAAGTTACTCTTTATTTTTTTTTTGCAAAAAGCTAGGCTTGTTTTCGAGGTTAATTATATTAAGTTCACATTTACTTTTTGCACCCGATGTTGGTGGAACAATGTGAATACTTCTTCCAGAGATAGCTCATTTTCGGAGAAATCAATATTAACATTGCAAATCCATTTTAAAAATAAACTTTAGCTTTTAATTGTAAGAATGATCACGTTATGAAAAAGATCATTAAAAATACTTTCATGATAGAAATAATTAATAAAAAATGTATTGCATTGTAATAATTTGGTGTCTACTAAATATTCTATCAAAGATATTTAAAATGCTTTAAAAGATATTATTAACTTTAGTAGTGAATATTAGAAAGAATAGCTAATAATGTTTCGCAATAATTATGATAAATAAGATCTTAAGATTTTAAATAATTCTCATAAAAATAATACAAATCAAATAATTAGAAAGATTAAGAAATATAAGGTAAAGGGGATATTATGATAAAGAGGATATTGTGGTGAATTAAAGATATCTCCAGTTATCAGAATCACACAAAAAATAATATTTGGTCCCTCTAAGTAAGATCAAGCACCAGCAAAACTATTAAATTCTTTTCAAAATTTCTTTAATTTCTTCATTTCTTATATATATCAGATTATTATAGGTAATTCATTAGAAGTTGTATGCTTTCTCAAGTTTATATTTTTCTAATAGCTAATGAATTCATTTTTCAAGAAGAAAATATCTTCTAATTGAAGTTATTTCTTTGGATTGAGCTATTTCTCTCTGTAATTCTATTAGTTTTCTTGAATGTTATCTAGGTATTTCTTTAAGTAATTATCCAAAGTAATAATATCTAATAAATTACAATTCATCAGATTAATTATCATGATTTTCAAAAAGATCATTAAAAATTATTTGAACTCTTATCTTTTAGCTTTGTTCAGATTGAAATTGATAATTAATATTTGCTATTATTGCTATTCTTAAAATTTCAGTATTGATTATATTCACAAATTATTTTACTCTAGAACTATTCTGTAGATTATTTGTTAAAGTTGAGATTTCTTCTACTATTGGTTCTGGTTCTGGAGATCTTTCTAAAGTTGTACTATTATTGAGTTATCTTTTAGTAACAAGATCATAGACTACTTTCTAATTACTATTATCAAGTATTAACTAATCTTCTTGAATTTATAAAGTTCTATTAAATTCATTATTTTTTAATT